CAATAGCCCTCCAACCGCAGAGCACCTAGCTAAAGCACAGAGCTTTCATGGCTGAAGCACAGCAATAAAGGATTAAGTATACCATACCATGCAAGTATGCTGTTCCTGCTTGCACATTATAACTTCTCCACTGACCAGCTAGATATTAATTTCTGTTTAACCACTTGAAGACTGGCATGTTAAACCCCCTTCCTGTCTAGGCCAGTTTTTAGTACTGTGATGCTCTGGGCACAGTGTTGCGTGACCAAGTAATTGTTCATCAAATAAATTAAAATTTTCCAAAATAGACCCTCCAACATATTTATTTAGATACATGGTGAGCTTTTGAAGATCACATTTTTCTCTACAAGGTTTTCAAAAGATAATGATATTATATTTTTTTTTTAAAAGCTGTCAAATAATAAGATGTTTCTCACACACAGCATGGGCAAATTTAGAATGATACCCCAAAACACACTCTCTCCTACTCCATCTAATATGGGAATACCACATATGTGCGACTAATTTTGCAGCCTAGCAACATAGAGAGGCTCAAAATCCAAGGAGAAACCACAAGCTTTTCAAAGCAAAAAATTAACCATCTTATTCTCTGCCTACCTATCATGAGTTTGGAGTGCCAGGACAGTAGAAAAGGCATGATTAGTCTTTTGAAATCATAATTTTTCTGTCACAAGCTTTTGGAAAATGCAGAAAGAAAATGAAAATGTTCTTTTTTTTTTTTTTTACATAAAGCTGTAAATTGATATAGTATTTCTACCACCCAGTATAGACATACTTAGAATTACACCCCTAAATACATTCTGCTACTCCTTCCAACTATAGGAATACCACATACAGTATGTGAGACTTGTTTAAAGCCTAGCTGCATAGGGGGTCCCAAAATCCAAGGAGCACATTTAGACTTGCACGGGGCATAAGTTATGCATCTAACTTCTTGACTAGCTATCACTTTTTAGAGGTCTTGAAAGCACGGGGGCAGTAGAAACACCTATAGCATCACCTCTAGCAACTGCAGTATCTACTGTATAAACCAAGCAAGCCTAGCTTGTTGGTACATGGCTGCCCCCAGGAATGCCATATTCACTGGCCAGGCAGTACAGGATGCTGAACAAAGAGTGAACAAAAGGGTTCCTATGGTTTCAACAGTGCAGCTGACCACAGAGCATGGCCAAGACTGGGGTCTCACTGAAACATAGCCAGTGTGATGTGCAGCAGAATCAGTTCAGGTAGCAATCAGACACATGATCAGTCCAGACAAAGAATCAGCCCAGGCAGCAGACACAAATTTAGTCAATAAACACACCGGGGCTAGTACATGTGACAGGCAGAGGTAGCACTGCACTGGGTGGCACTGATCAATAACACGGTTACTGGCTTACACTGGTCTGGTGACACTGGGACTAGTGTGGCTAGTGATCAGGGACACTGTTTCTGGCTGCACTTGCTGTGATGGCACTAGCATGGCAGCAGTGAGTGCATTAATATTGGCAAACAGTGGCAGAGCACTAAGAGAATTTCCATGAAGAGATTTATTACACCAGAAGATTTTGATTGCACACTGTGTGTTGTGGGACTTTTTATTGTAATACTGATTACATCAGCTGGCTATTTTGGTTACTGATAGTGCTGATTCACGCATGTGTGGTGCGGATTGAAGCTCAGGTTTCACAGCTAATTGACACAGTAGCTGTTCATCGGTTCAGGTCAGGTTTACATCACGTTCAGGACAGGATCAGCTCAGGATATTATCTTGTTCACACATATCAGGCTTAGAAATGGTTCCCATAGAAGTCAATAGCCTGTAGTCTGTACCTGAACCGCAGAATTCGTACATCACTCTTTTTTAAAGCGCGCTGAATCTGCACCGGCACCGCACTGGACATATGTGAACAAGCACCATAGGAAGCAATGTTATTTCACATGTTATGCGGATTGGATGCAGTTCAAACCGCATCCATTTCACATACAGTCAGGTCCATAAATATTGGGACATTGACACAATTCTAACATTTTTGGCTCTTTACACCACCACAATGGAATGAAATGAAGTTACTGCTTGTTCTTGGGGCATTTTCCCTTCAGTTTTGTCCTCAGCAAGTGAAATGCATGCTCAATCAGATTCAGGTCAGGTGATAGACTTGGCCATTGCATAATATTCCACTTCTTTCCCTTAAAAAAACTCTTTGGTTGCTTTTGCAGTATGCTTTGGGTCATTGTCCATCTGCACTGTGAAGCGGCGTCCAATGAGTTCTGAAGCATTTAGCTGAATATGAGCAGATAATATTGCCCAAAACACTTCAGAATTCATCCTGCTGCTTTTGTCAGTAGTCACATCATCAATAAATACCAGAGAACCAGTTCCATTGGCAGCCATACATGCCCACGCCATGACACTACCACCACCATGCTTCACTGATGATGTGGTATGCTTAGGATCATGAGCAGTTCCTTTCCTTATCCATACTCTTGGCTTCCCATCACTCTGGTACAAGTTGATCTTGGTCTCATCTGTCCATAGGATGTTGTTCCAGAACTGTGAAGGCTTTTTTAGATGTCATTTGGCAAACTCTAATCTGGCCTTCCTGTTTTTGAGGCTCACCAATGGTTTACATCTTGTGGTGAACCCTCTGTATTCACTCTGGTGAAGTCTTCTCTTGATTGTTGACTTTGACACACATACACCTACCTCCTGGAGAGTGTTCTTGATCTGGCCAACTGTTGTTAAGGGGGTTTTCTTCACCAGGGAAAGAATTCTTTGGTCATCCACCACAGTTGTTTTCCGTGGTCTTCCGGGTCTTTTGGTGTTGCTGAGCTCACCGATGCGTTCCTTCTTTTTAAAAATGTTCCAAACAGTTGTTTTGGCAACGCCTAATGTTTTTGCTATCTCTCTGATGGGTTTGTTTTGTTTTTTCAGCCTAATGATAGCTTGCTTCACTGATAGTGACAGCTCTTTGGATCTCATCTTGAGGGTTGACAGCAACAGATTCCAAATGCAAATAGCACACTTGAAATGAACTCTGGACCTTTTATCTGCTTATTGTAATTGGGATAATGAGGGAATAACACACACCTGGCCATGGAACAGCTGAGAAGGCAATTGTCCCATTACTTTTGGTCCCTTTACAAGTGGGAGGCACATATGCAAACTGTTGTAATTCCTACACCGTTCACCTGATTTGGATATAAATACCCTCAAATTAAAACTGACAGTCTGCAGTTAAAGCACATCTTGTTCGTTTCATTTCAAATCCACTGAGGTGGTGTACAGAGCCAAAAATTTTAGAATTGTGTCGATGTCCCAATATTTATGGACCTGACTGTATATGTGAACGGGCACATATATAACACGTTTGGTTTACGTGAAGCGCCGGACCTTTTTCTGTATGTTTTTTTTTTTATTTTTGAGTGTATTTGCCCCTTTTAAAGGGGCAGCTAATATATATTAATTTCACCAATAATTTATGGATGGGATCATTGTTTAACCTCCCTGGAGGTATTTCCGAGTGTAGCTCGGGGTAAAGTTTCAGCACCACAAGTGGTAACCCAGAGCTACACTCGGGAATACCATGCAGCACTTACCTTGTCCTGCGCTCCCGTGATGTCCCCCCTGCAGCGTCCTCGGCAATGTCCTCCGGCCGATGCCGGTATCTGTCTTCCGGGTTCCGTTCCCTGCAACGTCAGGACGTACAAGGACGGAACTGGTGGGAAATTTAAAAATGTCAAAATGTGACATTCACTAAATACACTAAAATCACATAGTAAAACATTACTGTATTAAAGCATTTCACATACATTTTGTCCCTAGTGCTTTGTCCTGTGCCCTGCCTGCATTTTTACTGTTCTTTCTGCCTTGAAACTTAGAAATGTCCATGGCGTCCAAAAAGCGTCCCTTTAGGTCAAAAGTGGTTTTGGACCAGCTAGAGAACAGCGATAGTAAATTAGAACTACTTGCAGAATTGAGTGATGATGATTTCGTGGGGAAATTCGTCATCAGACACTGAAAACGATTTTGCGACTTTTCTCAGTGATGTGTGAACTTGGCACTATATTTCAAATTTCAGTGTTTTTGGTTTGATTATATTATTGAATTAAATTTTTTATTATTATTATATTATTATTTTTTATGATTATTTATTAAATTATAATTTATGATTTTGTGTTTCAAATTTTAACATACCCGGGATGTTTACTAGACTCTTGTTCGGACAGATTTCAGTGAGTTATTCCTAAAAACTACAGGCCTACAATAAAAAACTACATATTTCCATGCAAAAAAATGTACCGCTTTAGCACAGAAATACTGACATAATCAGACCGCTAGGGAGTTTAAAAAGAAAATATATATATATATATTTTTTTTTTGGTGATGAGAGAAGGCGCTCAGTTTAATCTATTACAATGACTAAAACTAAAATGGCATTTCAGTCAAAAGAATAAAATATAACTGAAACTAAAATGGCATTTTAGTAAAAATACTAGGTCTAAAACTAAATCGAAGTTTGACATCAAAATTAACACTGCTATCCCTGTCCTGGTGGCAACTCAGAAGACATAGACAGCAATAAAACTGTAGTTCCAAACTGACACTGGATACGTTCTTATGAACAAGACTTTTAGTGGACTATTTTTCTGTCATATTGTCACTATTTCAGCGCTGCACTATTTTTATGTTATTGTTTTTAAGTTTTATTGGTTGCTTAGAGTGCTCAGCCGCTATCAGGATTAGCGCTCGCTGCTGTTGTTTTCTTATTTGTAGTTCCAAACTAACCACTCTAATAAAAAAAAAAATAAGTGTTGCCTTTAGTTGCACTTTAACCACTTGCCGACCGCAGATAGCCGAATGACGGCTTCACTGCGGCTGGCCAGTTCTGGGAGGGGCATCATATGACGTGCTCCCAGAACGCGCCCTCCCGCGCGCCCCCAGCGATCTCCGTGATCACTGTATCCTACAGACACAGCTGATCACGTGATGTGGTAAAGGCGAATCACAGCGGCCTTTTACCATGTAATCAGCCATGTCCAATGACACAGCAGATCACTGGTAAATGCAGTTACCGGTTATCGGCTGCACTTTCCTCATGCTGTCACAGTGTGAGGAAAGTACTGCCGATAACCGACAATTGTCAGAGGATGGATTGGCACCGATCAACAGGGCACTGATGATCAGTGCCCAGCAGTGCCGCCCACCTGTGCCCAGCAGTGCCGCATACAAGTGCCCAGCAGTGCAACCCACCTGTGCCCATCAGTGCCATCCAGCTGTGCCCAGCAGTGCCACTCATCAGTGCTGCCCAGCAGTGCCACCCATCAGTGCCCCCTATCAGTGCCCATCATTGCTGCATATCAGTGCAGCATCAACAGTGCCGCCTATCAGTGCCCATCCGTGCTGCCTATCAGTGCCACTTCATCAGTGCCCATCAGTGCTGCCTATCAGTGCAGCCTCATCAACGCACATCAGTGAAGGAGAAAAATTACCTGTTTGCTAAATTTTATAATAGAAGCAAAAAAAATTTTTTTTTTCAAAATGTTTGCTCTTTTTTTTGTTTATAGCACAAAAAATAAAAGACCCAGTGGTGAATAAATACCACCAAAAGAAAGCTCGATTTGTGTGAAAAAATTATAAACATTTCATATGGGTACAATGTTGCATGACCACGCAATTGTCATTGCAACAGCGCTGAAAGCTGAAAATTGGCCTGGGCACGAAGGGGGTATAAGTGCCCGGTAGGCAAGTGGTTAATCTTTCCCTTACCCCTACTCACCTCTCCTGCACTCTCTACGTCGGAAACAAAAAAAATAAGTGGGTCTTCTGTAAGGGGGAGCATGACCCACTCTGCTTGGCCTAGCGCTGCCATGTGGGTGAAAGGAGACAGTACCCAAACCTGCATAGGTTCTGATTAGCCCAACTCTTTGCTTACACAGGTCTTACTGTCTTTGCTTCCAGCAATGGATTGCTGGGTTAGAGAAAACAGGGAAAGTATGCTCTTCCTCGCAAGATGAACATGGCCAGAGCACAGGGGTCTGTTCTGTTCAACTACCTTTTACTCAACACTAAAGGTAACAAGTTTTTTTTTCTGTCTGGTATTTGTCTTTTTGATATGACAGAAGAAATTCTGAATGTGGAAACCCAGCAAGCAAAGTTCTCAACACTTGTTGCTTTCCCCTGGCTAAAGTAAAGGTATGCTTGCAAAGTTGACTGAATATGACTTTAATGATAATTATCTTCTGACTGATGAACCCTATTAATCATAAAATACACATTTTTTTATGGCTTGATTCAAAATGTTGTTTTCCTTCACCTTCCTAGTGTATTACAAATTATATAAAAGCACTGCAACTGGTTTATATGAGACCATACCTGAATGTTACATTGTGTGCGATCACACTGCTGTATAAATAATCACTAAGCTGTATGCAGTACTGTTCATTACTGTACAGTGTTTGTATTGTTCCAATATAAAACTGTACAAAGGAATGCTAATGGGTCTCTGCTATGCTTAGTGCACTCTAATGGGTCAGTGCTTAATAACTGCTTATGTATTGGATATTATTTCAGTGGTTTAGTTATATAACCTTGTGGCTTGTGCCTGCTGCTCTTATTTTCACACATGAATGCAGTTATATTTCATCCAGTGTTCACACAGAGGAATGTGCATAAGATACAGCAACGCTACAAACAAGAACAAGGGGCAATCCAATGTTGCATTACATTAAAATCTTTGTCTAGTACATATGTGGATATTCTGTGAGTTTTAAATATGGTATAGAAACAATACCTATCCATTGCACTTTAGGATGACCAGAAAATGGTTTGGGCTGCTCAAACAAGTTAAGTGCTTCTAGAGAGCCAGTTGCCAGACCATCAATTTCAACATAGTTTAGTTTCCCCATAGGATTATTCAGTATATGCATTGAACACTTTAGTCCTGAGACTGCTTCTGGGTGCTGATATTGTGGCCCTAATGGCAGCAGCCTCAACAGACTCTTGTGACACTATAGAATTTGCTTCTCTCCCAGCAGCTACATAAAAAGTTATATAGGGCAGTGAGAGGAGGGCCACAGAAGCTAGGCCAGTACAGAGAGAAAATAGCCACTCCCAGAAGAGGAGAGGGTTATGCAGAGGTAGGGGGCCATATAGGGAATTTAATCTTCCTGAGGAAGTCCAACCATTTTCTAGCAATATCAAAGGCACTTTGCACATGAATAAAAACATTTTATGGAAAGGAAAATGTTGCATGAAAGCATTTATTTTTTTTTCTTTTTACTTTTACCTACAATGTATTAAGTGACAGGATCTCTTTAAAGCTACTGTATGTGGGCTGACACTCACATCATAATTGAGGAGGCATAAAAATGTTTTGCTCCCATGAAGCAATAGAAGCTTCCCCTAATTTTATTTGTGTAATTGTCAGTTGGCACAATGTAGTGTATTGGTAGCTCAGGAACTCAAGAACACCTAAGGCCTTTCAAACACAATACATTTGTTATTGCTTGCTTGTCAACACTAGTCTTTATCAGCACCAAATTGAAAATGCATTTAACAATGCTTGAAGCAGCTTTCTTGAAGCTATGGAAGCACTCTTAAGCTCCAGTGCTAAGCAGAGATCTTTAGGCTCCATTCACACTTGTGAAACTCCAAAGTCGCACGATTTCCAGTGCGCCTTTGCAGTGCAACTTTGATGTGACTTTGATCCAACTTTACACTCTGACACTAAGCCACATTAAAGTCACATCAAAGTAGCGCAGGAACCTTTTCAAAGTCGCTGTGACTAAGATTCGAATAGGTGCCACTGTCCAAGTCGCACAAGTGTGAATGGAGCCTTAAAGCCCACTTAAACTTTCCGTGTAAATCAACAAAACACAGTCCAATTGCGATTTACAGTGCAAATTGGCCTCATACAATATATGCAAAAACGCAACCAAGTCTACATAAATCGCACTGAAAGTCACATCAAAGATGCATCACAGAAGTGTGAATCAAGCTATAAACAGATCTTGGCAGGCTGCCAGCCTTCTGATACAAACAACCAGCTGGTGTTTCTAATCTGTTAGAAACCAACTGAAACCTGACTATAGAGTATTTGCCGGAATAATTGAGAATGAATAACTTCACAAAAAAAGCTGCTTGTTAGTGTAGGGGTATAGTATTTCTCCAAATGTTCATTTTACATTTTTGTGATCTGTTAATAAGCTTTAGTCAGTTTAGCTGTGTGCAGGGTAGTTCTTTCTAAGCATAGCGTGAATTAAAGCTGAATTCCAGGAATTCTTTCACTTTGTAAAAAGTGCAGGCACACTGCATGTCACCTTGTTGACTTATCTCCATTGTTTATATCTGACAGGTTTATTGCACTTCTGGAGGATACACTCCAGGCTGTGAGAGGAGACAAGCACACACGGCAGCTGTGCCCACCCCTCCCCTCTGCTGTCCATTCACAGAAGCCTTTGTATGTTGTAATAATAATAATACAAAGACTTCTGTGATTGGACAGAAGGAGAGTAGGGGTGGGAATAGCAGTTGAAATACCACTGACTCTACACTTGAAGGACGTGAGACCAGAGTGGACATATTCTTCCTGGAGCACTATAAACTCATCAGATATAAATTAAAGAGATATGTCCACTGGTGGCAAGCACTTTGTTGGACCTAACTCATGATATGCCTGCAATTTTTTATGAAGTAGCTGAATTCCTGGACCTCAGCTTCAACTCAGTCACATATGTTAACATTCTGTGTTAGGCCTTCTACACATGGTGTACTTAAGCATACACCCACGTGAGGGCTGTGTTTTGCCTGCACAGGATGCATCAATGTTCTGTGCGGACAGGCAATCCCATTTATGTCAAGTGGGACACAGCAGCTGCACAGACACATGTGCTGTTCCCATTTTGACATCCATGTGGGTGCAAACCCCTAATGCAGCCAGTATGCAGCCATGGTGTCCCAATGGACATGAATGGGACTGCCAGCACATGGATGCATAGAGCACCTGTGCATCCCGTGCAAGCAAAACATGGACCTCACACATGTTAGGTGCTTAGGTACGCACATGTGAACAAGACTTTAAGCTTATTTGATACCTGGCCAATCAATAGGCTTGGGGGTCTTGCTGTACACACAGAGAGATTTTAAATATCTGAAGCACTTCCTGACACATGAACTTCCCTCCAGGGTTTCAGCCTGAGAAGATTTCAGTATAAATTCTGTCTCTCAGGTCTTGGGGTCTAAGGATGTGAAGTAGTGCAGGGATCTCCTCTCCAAAGAGGCCTCCCTAAAAATATTTGCTTCAAGGGCAAGAGACACCAAGGGTTGGAAAGAATCTCAGGGACCTTCTCAGTGCTGTCCTACCTTGAAATTCAAGTTTAAGTTATAAAAAGAAGCACTGGTGTCAAGGGGCCATCCTAACGGTTCAGTGTCCAGCCAGTATAATCCAGTGAGAGGAGGACCTCAAAACCTAGAGAGAGAAGCAAGAAGAGGAAACATGCAGGTATCCTGTGCTTGCTTCATCCTCCTTTACATTTCTTCATGCACATGTTGAATACATCTTCAGTGACTGGCACCCATCATTTTAACTAACCCTGAGGAATGTGCCTGAGACATTTATCACCAAGTATTTGGGTCTAGGACACACATGTTGTGGCTATTAGGAAACTAAAAAGTCATATTCCTTGTATGTATGTGCCTTCTTTCTTCACAATAAGGCTGCATTAAGAATATGTAAACCGTTTAATGTACATAGTATGGGCATGGGTGCTGATCTCCAATCAGACAGATAAGTACACATTAAAAATAAACATGGGAGCTGTTTTACCTGCCTAAAAATTTGTATTTTTCTACAGCCAGTCTTACAATTACACAGTCATGCCAGACAACACAACCAGGTTGGTGACTTGACGTTTATTTCTGCAATTAAGCAATACAGCTTGGTCATTTTCCTACCCCAAGTCTGTGATTAGATCACAGGACATCAGTCTACAGTAAAATGCAAAGATTTAGATGTGTAACGGACTAAATTATATCAATATATATAGAAGACAGAACATGATTAAAAATATGCTTTTTTCATATAAAAAACACCTAATAAAATATATTTATATTCTAGAAAGCCACTTTCAAATCTAAGCTTGGCACAATGAAAACAGCATCCTGGTACGTTGCATTAACACACTTTTGTTTGAGCGTTAACATCTATTGCTAATTGGGGCGGAGTTGAATGCTCATTTGAGCATCTCCCTATAAATTTAGTTCAGCTCATGGGGGAGATCTCTGATGGGGGGCACAGTCTCTGATGGGGGTGCTGCTTATGATGGAGTGCGGCTTTGAATGAGTGCAGAGCAGTTAAACACAGCAGTTGAACTAAAGCAGGAGAACTTAAGCAGCAGGAAGATACAACAACAGCAAGAAACTCTACTG